GTGGTGCCTGCTGAGATGGTGGGGAGGTGTGGCACATCTAGGGCTTATCACGCTGGGGGTCATCCGGGCTTCTGGAGGTGGAAAGGATCTTCCCATGGGATCTATCGTCCCCTTTTTAAAAGCTCAGAGTGAATTAGGAGCCCCTGGGAGATAACTTAGAGGATGACAGCTGAAACCCAGGGAGGGAAGAAACTTGCAGAGAAAGAAAAGAAAAGAAAGAGAAAGAAAGGAGAGAGAAAGAAAGGAGAAAGAAAGAAGAGAAAGAAAGAAAGGGAGAGAGAAGGAAAGAGAGAAGGAAGGAAAGGAAAAAAGGAAGGAAGGAACAGAAAAACGTCCTGCCCACCCCGCAATTGTCTAGAGACCTAGATTCTAGCCCCAGCCCCCAGACTTCTCGGCATCCTTGCCATGAGAATCGGGCAAGATTTTCTCTGTGCCTCTAGCCGGCCAACCTCCCAGAGTTGGGGTTGGGGTGAGCAAAAACAAGGGTGAGAGTTGGTTCCAGTTCCTCAGAGGGGTTTTCTCCCCGGGCAATTCCTCTGCCCAGAACATTTTCCCCACTAACTGCTCACGCTCCATGCCTCAGAGCAGGCTCCTGGCAGGCACTGTGGCTGTAAAGTCTCCCCTGACGCCCTGCCTGACTCATTCCATTGTCTCCATCACAGGCCCTCGGACACTTGGAACACTTCGCAGTTCCCTTAGAACTCACCACCCCGGGCTGTAATCGCCCATTGCACTGTCTGCCTCCACAGCCAGCTGTGAGCCCACCCGAGCCCCCTCACCGTTTGGTCCTGCGTCCAGCATAGTGCTTGGCACGTACGTGATAAACAAGGACTTGGGGAACAAACAGATGAATGAGTGAGTGAATAAATGAAGATGTGAGTGAACCAGTGAATTAGTAAGTGCCGTCGCAGCCAAGGGAAGTCTAAAATCGTGTCATGTTTTGGAGAGCTTACCTCAGATTTCCCAGGAGACTTGCTGAGGTTTTTTTTACAGCATCTGTAAAAATAATAATAGTAGCTCCAACAGCCTGTTGTTACCGTTGTAAATTCCCAAAGGGCTTTCCCTGGTGTGTTTGAGAAGAGGGGGGGCAGGCACTGATTCTCTGCCCTCAGTCTCCATCCCTCCCTCCCCGTTTCTCCTTCCCACCTCTGTGCTACCTCTCCGTCTGGGTTTCTCTCTCCTCACTCTGCCTCTCTCTCTCTCTCTCTCCCCGTCTTGGTCTCGTTTCTTTCTCTCCTCACTGTCCCTATCTCTGTCTCTCTCTTTCCTTATCTCTGCCTGTTTCTCTCTCTTCCCTCTCTCTCAAGCTCTCTCTGTCCTCTCTTTTCTCTCCCTCTCCCTCTGTCTCTTTCTCTTTCACTATTTCTGCCTCTGTTTCTCTTTCCTCTCTGTCTCTCCTGTCTCCTTCTCTCCCTCCATGTCTGCCTCTTACACTGTCTCTACTTGTTTCTCTCTCTCCCTCCCTCTGCCTCTGTCTCTCTTTCACTATCTCTGCCTCTGTTTCTCTCTCTTCTCAATCTCTGTCTCTCTCTCCATTTCTCCTCTCTCTCCCTCCTTTGTCTCTTTCTCTCTCACTGTCTACCTGATTTACTCTCTTCCCTCTCTCTCTCTCTCCTTTTCTTTCTCTCAGTTCCTCTCTCCCTGCCTCTGTATCTCTCTCTTTCACCATCTCTGCCTGTTTCTCTCGCCCCGCACTTCATTTTTCTCTTTCTCTCTCTCTCCTTGTCTCTTTCTCTTCACTATCTCACCTCTCTCTCTTCCTTCTCTTCCCCTCCACTTCACCTCCCTGCCCTGTCTCTGTCTTTCGGGTACTCTCCACCATTTCCCTCCCCATCGCCGTTCACTCTCCACTGTGCGAGGCATCTCACAGAGAAGATCTCACTTTCCTTCCCAGACACCTGGTGCTGCCTCATTTGTACTTTGGGAGAAACACCTGCTGGCCATGGTCAAGAATGTGGGCGTTAGGCTCAGGAGCCATATTCAGCTGGTTTCAGGCCCAGCTCTTCCACCTACTAGCTTGTTACCTTGGTCAAGGGGTCTAACTAATCTCTCCCAGCCTCAGCTTCCTTATCAGCAAAATGAGGTGGAAATGTGCCCTCTCAAAGGACAGCTGCAATGATTAAATGATATAATGCTTGGGAAATGCTTAGTACAGTGGCAAAGCTCCATAAATGTGAGCTGTCTTGTTACTATCCATTCTATCAGCTGTTTTTGCATTGTCTGTAAATGTTATTAATACCCAGGAGATCATTGCTGAAGATGATAAACACCTCTGGACTGAATAGCCCCACTACCACGCCAACCCCAGGATCATTTCAGCCCCTTCCTACCTCCCCCAGATAGATGACCATCAGAGCCCAGTTGATTCTGGTTCTGACTCTCTGGTCTTCTGTGCCCACTTTAATTTGGACAGAATCTATCTGGATAGAGATTCCCTAAGCCTGGCTTTCTTTCAAAAATTATCTGAGGAGCTTTTAGTAATTGCAAACATGTGGGGTGAGTCAAGGAGATTCTGACTCCATAGGTCTGGGGTGACATCCAGGAATTGGATATTTTCAAATCAGAGTGACTCTGATTGGAGAACAGGGATTCCAGTTCTGGTCTAAACTTGGTGGCTACTCAAGTGATACTAAGTGAATCAGTCAATAGGAGATGGTAAACGAATAAAGGCATAAATGAGTAGATGGGTGTCTGCATAGATGGATGGATGGATGGATGGATGCATGGATGGATGCATGGATGCATGGATGCATGGATGGATAGATGGATGGATGGATGCATGGATGGATGGATGGATGCATGCATGCATGCATGGATGCATGGATGGATAGATGAATGGATGGATAGATGGATGGATGGGTGCATGGGTGCATGGATGCATGGATGGATGCATGAATGGATAGAGGGATGGATGGATGCATGGATGCATGGATGGATAGATGAATGGATGGATGGATGGATGGATGGATGGATGAATGGATGGATAGATGGATGGACAGATGGATGGGACAGACGGATAAACAATAAGTCTACCTCCATGGGAAGAAATGCTGGTATTTTTCCCCAGACCTATGCTCTGGCCTCCAAAATGTGTGTCCTTTTGTTCTGTGACTTTTCAGAACACAACACTTGGCTGCTCCCCTGTTCCTTTACTTCCGTTTCTCTGCACCTAAATCCCAGCCTTTCCCTTTCCTGGTGTCTGTTTCCTCCATCCTCTCTCCCTTCTCACTCCACCCACTCCTTTCAGCTCCCACTTCTCTCCACGGCCTTCCCCTCACCATGCTGAAACATTTGCAAGCTGGGGGTTCTTTTCTTATTATCCCAAGACGCTTTTGTGAGAAGAGACTTTGGACACAACAGTTGCACAAACAGTTTTATTTGATGAACCACAGTGACTAACAGGGTTGGAACATGGTGCAGACATTCTGAAAAGGCACTGGGAGAGGGAAAGGGCTTCACAGCAGGCAGCCTCCTCTGCTTCTGTCCCACACCACAGGTGAGTTCCAGGCAGGAAGTCTCTATAGGTTACCCACGGGGGCCTCAGAGAGACACCCTCTTCCCTTATAGAAGCCTCTCCCAGTGTTCACTGGATGCTTTGAGCACAGCTCTGGGCAGAAGAGGTGACTCTGTGGAAGATGCCATCTTAAGATAGGGAGACTAGGCTGAGAGGAGTCCCTTCCCCTCTCCTCCTCCCTCTGCCCCCAGAGCTGGCACCATTCCAGGGAGACCCTAGATGTCCATTCGCATCCAGCTGGGATTTTCCTATCTCCATTGCTCATGTCTTGTCCTTCACTTCCAGAGTCCTCCAAGAACAAAACCCGGAATAGACACCCCCTGCCTCTAGCTCACAAAGGTGCCACCATGAATTTCGTCCTCATGATCTCTCTGGCGGTGTGGACATCATGCCATCTGCCCCTTCATGACTGCTCCAGTCTCTATTCCCAGCTCCCCCACCCAGCAGAAGCCAAGAGGTCCAATCCTGAGGGTAGGGACAGAAAAAAAACCCACCCAGTGACTTTCAGCCCATGGCAAGCAGGGGGCCTCCTTAGGAAGAGGGCCACTGACCCTGTAACAAGGAAGGATGATGAGGGCAATGCCCATACATTTGAAGCCAGGTGGGAGGCACCAGAAAGGGGCCAAGAGAGGCTCTCAACCAGCCTCTTCCTTCCTTCATGGAGCCCAAGAAGGAGCAGGAACCCAGCTCAGTAGGCTACCCCCAAGCCTTGGCGCCAGCTGCTTTGGGGAGGGACCTCCCTACAGGAAGCCTGGTGCAAACATTAACTTCTCTCCTACAGCACGGACCAGCCGTTGGAGCCCCCAAATCCAGTGGGAGGTGGACTCATTTTTATTCTACATTCTTCACTGCCTCAGTGTGTCCCTGCCCCGCCCCACCCCACCACCCCCTGCCAAGGGTAATGTGTGAACAGCAGAGAGGCAGTGGAGTTGGGGATGGGAGGGGGTTCATCCAAGTGACCCAGGCACACCGCTGTTCATGCCAGGCTCGTCCATATAGACATATAAGTACACACACACGGACAAGAAGCAGGCATCTCCACCACAACAAACGTGACCCTTGGAACCAAGTAGCACCAGTGCCCAAGAAAGAAATTGGCGTGATGGGGTAAGATGGGGAGATGGAGAAAACCTTCAGCTCACAGTTCTGCAGAAAGTCAGAGAGATGAGGACCTGGGGAGGGAGCCAAGCGCGGTGGCTCAAGCCTGTAATCCCAGCACTTTGGGAGGCCAAGGCGGGTGGATCACGAGGTCAAGAGATCGAGACCATCCTGGTCAACATGGTGAAACCCCGTCTCTACTAAAAATACAAAAAATTAGCTGCGCATGGTGGCACGTGCCTGTAATCCTAGCTACTCAGGAGGTTGAGGCAGGAGAATTGCCTGAGCCCAGGAGGCGGAGGTTGCGGTGAGCCGAGATCGCGCCATTGCACTCCAGCCTGGGTAACAAGAGCAAAACTCCGTCTAAAAAAAAAAAAAAAAGCAGCATCTAGACTAAATGCAAACGCCCCTCCACTCCATCCTCTCTCTCGTTTCCCTTCCCAACTCCCCACTCACATAGTGAAACTAAGGAGCGCGTCCATTCATCAACCCTGCTGCCTTCCAATTCCCACAGAAAATAGAGGAAGGATGAAAGGGTCTGCAGAAAATTTGGAGAATGCATCTCTAATCAGTGTCATGGTCCCACGGAGGGACTGCAGGAATCACGCTAGCCCCAGTTCCCGAAATGACAGGGAAGTGATCCAATCTTAGGGCAAGCTCTGGAGCACCCAGCTCTAAGGGCTGGAGCGCTAACTCTCTGTGGACACATAGCCCACCCCCGCCCCAGCCCATTCCCTGCCTCACACTCAGAAAACGGGATAGAGAGCTTACACGGGGTCAGTCTCGGCAAGCTTTGGGATCCTTAACCCTTAGTAGCCCTTCAGAACAAGAAAGTAGGCAAGGGAGAAGGAGGGATGGAGACAGGGGGATGAGCTATGGGAGGGGCTTGGTGCCAGAAGGCGGGATGAGAAGCGACAGCTGCAGAGAGTGGTGAGTGGGAAAAAATACAAGGAAAGGAGAGAAAAGACGGCTGCAGATCTAAGAAAGCAGTGGAGGGAAATGAGATTTTATTGAGTCCGGACTCAGGCTTCAACATTTTAGGGTCAATATGATTTTCCCCCATTTCATACCAATGGAGAAACTGAGGCTGGGTGAGAAGAAACAGCTTGTGCATGGTCAGGTCTATAGGACCCAGTCACTTTCCCCTAAAACACAAACCTCTGAGAAAGAATAAAGAAGTAGAGGAGGATGGGGTGGGACGGGAGTTGGGGGCAGTGAAAGGACGTGCAGGGAGAAGGTGTAGCCACACTACCTGGTTTTCAGAAAGCAAGGGCAAAGGCTGGGGAGGGCCGAGGGCACCAGGCTTCTCTCTGCTCCCGGCCCTAGTCAACCACGAGGGTCTCCTGGCTGTAAGGGATGGATTTCTCATGCATCTGCTCTCCACCCTTGCCCATGTTGGGGCCGGGCCCCTGGCTGTGCCCCGAAGAGTAGCTGGCTGACTTCTCCCCACTGCTGCTGTGGGAGGTGCCCGCGCACCTGCTGTGGCCGCAGCAGAGCATGGAGGTGCAGGACTGGCGGAAGCGGGGGTCGAAGAAGGCGTAGAGGAAAGGGTTGAGGCAGCTGTTGATGTAGCTGATGCAGGTGCAGTAAGGGAAGACGTTCATGAGGAAGAGGTCGAAGTCACAGGGCCAGTGCAGCAGGCTGCCCAGCATGTAGAGCGTCTTCACCAGGTGGTAGGGCATCCAGCACAGAGCAAAGGTCACCACCAGCACCACGATGATGCTCAGCAGCCGGCGCCGCTTACGCAGGCCCTCGATGCGCTCCTTGCGGAAGTGGCCGGCGATGGTTTGGGCGATGAAGAAGTAACAGGTCAGCATGATGGTGAAGGGCACCACGAAGCCCACGGCAGTGGACGAGACCCCCAGGCCCACCTCCCAGGCCCACTCCGAGCTCACGCTGGCCACCACGGAGTAGTCCATGTAGCACTGCACCTTGGTGGTGTTCTCCAGGTCCCCGGTGGTGCGGAACACCATGACGGGCATGGCCAGGAGGGCAGCCAGCACCCACAGGACCGCCGTGGCCACGGCCCCGCTGACCCGCAGCCTCAGCCGAGCATTGGCCACCGGCCTCACGATGGCCAGGTAGCGGTCGAAGCTGAGGCCGGTGAGGCAGAAGACGCTGGCGTACATGTTGACGAAGATGAGGTAGCTGCTGAGCTTGCAGGAGAAGGTCCCAAAGGGCCAGTCATAGTCCCGGTACGTGTAGGTGGCCCACAGGGGCAGCGTCACCACGAAGGTCAGGTCAGCCACCGCCAGGCTAGCGATGAAGATATCAGCTGAGCGCCTCTTCTCCCGGCTGGTCCGAAACACGGTCCAGAGCACCAGACCGTTGCCCGAGGTGCCCAGGAGGAAGACCAACATGTAGATGGCAGGGATGAGAGCCCCCGAGGATTTCCAGTCTGTGTACTCACACTCAGACTGGTTGTCCGCCCCATAGTAGTTGTCAAAATCACCACCTTCCTCCATGCTGGGGAGTGGAGAGAAGACGGGCAAGGAGTCCCAGGCACACAGGCTCCGTGGCTCTGTCACCCACTCTGCAAGCACCCTGAATTTCCGGCTTAAGCCTCAGATGGTAGAAGGGCTGAAGGTGCCCAGAGTCCTTCCCGGCACGCAGGAGGAGCTGCCTCTGGGTTCTCCAGACCCTGGAGGAAGCCTCTCTCCTGCAGACCTTCCTCCACTGCCGCCTGCCTTGCCCCGTCTCAGCTAAGACACTTCCTCGCACCCTCCTGAGTCCCAGTCTCCTCCTTGACTTGTCACTGCCTCCTCCCACCTCCAGACCAGCCCCTCTCCTGTGAGTCCAGATCTTTAAGTGACAGCCCACTTTTTTTTTCTTTTTGTCACTTGGCAAGTGGACCAAATTGACCCCTACTGTGCTGGGCTGAACATTATCTGTGCTTTTGCAAGTCCGCTCCCCTGGCCCCGCCTCCCCACTCTGCCTGCCACCCACCTTCACCCCAGCCTCTACCCCTCCAGTTTCCTCGGGCCACCACTTCCTGCCTGCCCTTTAGGGCACTCCCTCCTCAGGGGTCTCCGCCCTCCCGTTCTCACCCCCACCCGTCCAATCTAAATGGGACACATTATGCAGATTGCAACCCGGCCTGAACTGGAGCTAGGGCTGGTAGGGAGCAAGGAGGGTGTGAGATTTTGCAGGACGGTCAGGGCATCTGGCAGGCCCTCCTGGCAGGCGGGTCTGGCCCCGTCGCCTCCCTTCCTGCACCCCCAGTCCCCACCCAGACCAGGTGTCACAGGAGGGCTTTCTCCTTTGCCTCTAACTTCATCTTTCTCTACCTCTTGTCTCTGACCCTTCCTCTGAGAACTTTCATGATTTATAAGAAGAGATTTCTAGAGAAATCCCGCTACACTTGTGAAGATAGCAATTTGCAGTTTGCAGATGGCACAGGATGCTTCAGAAGGTTAAGGACAGAGTCATGGGATGGGAGAAACCCAGGACAAAATTATGTCTAAACAAGTCATTAAATCTATAGGAAACTAAGGCCCAGCAAGGTCAATGTTTTGCCCAAGGTAATCAAGTGAATTCTGCTACAGTTGATTATTCACTTTCTTCTTCTCTAAGCACATAACACAATGCCCAGCATGTCATAGGTGAATGGCTGATTTTTCAGTTGTTGTTGTTTGGAAGAGTTTTGTTCTTGTAGCCCAGCCTGGAGTGCAGTGGCACGATCTCAGCTCACTGCAACCTCCACCTCCCAGGTTCAAGCGATTCTCCTGCCTCAGTTTCCCAAGTAGCTGGGATTACAGACACCCGTCACCACACCCGGTTAATTTTTTTTGTATTTTTAGTAGAGACGGGGTTTCACCATATTGGCCAGGCTGGTCTTGATCTCCTGACCTCAGATGATCCACCCACCTCAGCCTCCCAAAGTGCTGTGATTACAGGCGTGAGCCACCGCACCTGGCCAGGTGAATGGCTGTTGAGTGAGTGGAGGGATGAATTAGGGGGTGAGTGTAAAGAGGAATCCATAGATGGAGGAATGAATGTATGAATTACTACGTGGTAAGAACATGGATACATTCCAGTTCTCAGATTTTTACTATCCTCCGTGGACCAAGAGGTTTCTATAAGACCACAGGGGGTCAGGAAGTTGAGCTAGAGATGGAAGATCTCTAGGGAAAGACGCACTCACTGGAGGATGCTGCGGGCAACGTTCTGTAGAAGATCACTTTGCGCCTTCTCCTCACCTCTCCTGGGCCTCTAGGCAGTAAGGAAGGAAGATGCACGGATAAGACTTTTTAAAAATATGCACCCTTTCCACCACCTCCAAGAGTGGGGGAAGCCACCTAAAGCTGGGTAACAGTGAGCTGGAACAGAATTAGGAGATGAGCCGTGGCCACTTCAAGGCAAAGGACTTACAAAAACTGGAATCGCTGGGGCAGGGTAGCTCATGCTTATAATCCCAGCACTTTGGGAGACCGTGGCAGGATGATCGTTGAGCCCAGGAGTTCGAGACCAGCCTGGACAACACAGCAAGACCCCGTCTCATTATATATTTTTTTCTTAAGTTATTACTAAATCCTCCATTGTCTGGAGGGAGAGTGCATCAGAAAATCTTCAGCAGAGATCTTAAAACAGGGGAGTCCAACTCGAAAGCCAAGTTTGAGACAATAGAGAGTGGTGAAGACTGCGGCAAACTGGAGCGTGCCCATTCCACCTTAAGGAGGCCTCTTCAGCTCTAGTCTCTGACTGTTATGCAGAAAGCTGGACCCCAGCATGACTGAGTCTTATGGTTTTTCCAAGATAATTTCAAATTATGGATTTTTATAAGAAATTTCTATATTTGTAAATGTTAGAAATCCATTTTAATTTCAAAAAAAAAAAGCATAGACCATGATAAGTAAAACATGCTTTTGGCCCCCAAGTTTGTGTTCTTTAAACAGGAACTTGCCAAGAATAGAAGGTAGAAGAACAGAGAGGATGGGCCAGGAGGAGGAAACATAAAATGCAAAGGTAGAGAAAGCCTTAGAGTGCAGCGGGGAGATACAGGAGAGAAGGCTGGAAAGAGAAATCAGAAAGACCCCGTGACCTTTACCTGCGTGAGATGTGCAGGGATGAGTACGTTGGCGTTTCTCATGAGGACGGCATGTTGCCCCCTCGCTATGTGCCAGGCGTTCTTCTAAACATTGCATACATTGTACATATATTTATTATCTCTTTTAGTTGCCAAAGCAACATTAGGAGGCAGGTGCTCTCATTAGCCTCAATTTACAGAGGAGGCACACAGACGTGAAGCCACTTAGCCAGGATCACCCCACAGTCATTGTCAGAGCCAGAATTTGAACCAAAGCTGTCTTGAGCCCATGGACTAAACCACTATGTCTCCAAAGAAACATGCCCAATCCTTTTTAAATTAAAGGGTGTGTCATCTGTTAAGCATTATAGAAATGTAGGGTGATGCCAGGATACCTGTAATTTACCTTAAAATAAGCTCTCCCAGATGAGATTTTCAATAGAGTGACTACTTAGAGACACTCCTCACACTTGATTAGACAGGGTATAAGAATCCTGTCAGGTGGGCCGGGCGCGGTGGCTCACGCCTGTAATCCCAGCACTTTGGGAGGCCGAGGCGGGTGGATCACGAGGTCAAGAGATCGAGACCATCCTGGTCAACATGGTGAAACCCCGTCTCTACTAAAACTACAAAAAATCAGCTGGGCATGGTGGCGTGTGCCTGTAATCCCAGCTACTCAGGAGGCTGAGGCAGGAGAATTGCCTGAACCCAGGAGGCGGAGGTTGCGGTGAGCCGAGATCGCGCCATTGCACTCCAGCCTGGGTAACAAGAGTGAAACTCTGTCTCAAAAAAAAAAAAAAAAGAATCCTGTCAGGCAATTATCTGTACACATAGGGTTAGCACCAGAACTTGATCCAGAAACCACCCTGGGTCTACCCATTGCCAAAGAGAATTCCTGGTTGCCTGGTGCCAGCTAGGGAGCTAACAGGACTCTGCCTCTGGAATCTTGGCAGTCTGCACAGCGGGGGCTGCGACACCCAGTAGGACCCAGAACGGGAGCTCCATCCATCTCACAGTACACAGGGTAGGAATTGCTTGGGGCCTCTTGCTCCTGCATTTTTGGCTAATAGAAGTTCTGTGCAGATGGCAGAATGGTTTTCATTATATCCTGACAGTATGGTTGGGCAGAAATAGTTAACCTGTGGCCACACCAGACTTCTTCAGTGGTAAATTATCTTTACCTATCAAAGGGGACCTAGGAGTTGTGTAGGGACCAGTTTGGCTCAGGTGAGGGCATCATAGATGGCCCTTTTATGAGTAAACATTACTGCTTGGGACATTTCAAGATCAAGACCAAGTTTGGGACACCCAAGTGATCCCAGTTCTCCCATGATTCTCCCAGAAAGATGCAGGTGTCTGTGCCCTTTGCAGCTAGAAATACAGAGAGAGAGGAGTGAGTGGGCTTGGAGTGTCCCTGAAATCAGATCCCTGTCTCCCTCCCCTCAACTGTTCCCATTGGGATGCTGAGCCCGGAGACCCTGTGGGAAAGGATAGGGATCATCGCTTTCATCTGCTGAGCTCCAGGCTCTCTGCCCTGGAGCGGGTAAAAAGCAGTTAATCTCACTAGAGCAACCAGACTCATTGAGAGGGGAGGGAATTGGGAACCAGGGCTGGGAAGAGGCGACCATTTGGGACCAGAGAGGGTAGAGTACTGATAAGATCCGGCCTCCATCCAGGAGCCAGCTGGAGCCAGGTGGCCTGAGTGCCCCCTGCAATGACAGCCTGAAGTGAGCAGAATTAGCCAGCTTACTCCTCAGCCCGCCTGATCCCATCTGTCCCTGTTCCACACTGCACCATTCCACACAGAAGACAGGCTGGAAAATAGGATCAGTAGCTGAAGATGGACTTTGTAGGTCCCGGGACTCAGAAGCTGCTCACATACTAGACATATACAAGGCCTGGGACAGATACCTGCTTTCCATTTCTGCCCCCTACCCAACTTGGCACCTGGTAAAATCTGTTGAATTAAAGTAATAGAAGAGAAGGGTGCTGAAGACTTGGGTCTTCACCCCAGAGCTGCGCTACTGTATTAACAAAGGGACTTTTGCTAAAGTGACCCAGGAAAACCTACTCTGAGCTATCTGGCCAGCCAATCGCTAAGGCAAGTCTGTTGGCCAGGGTGTCCGGAGCTGGCCTGCCCCGGAGAGGCCTGAACAGGTTTCCTGGGGAACTTCCCTCTCGCTCCTGGGTGATTTCTTCAGGGCATTGTATGACACTGAGATGAATGACACCTGGCAGAGAAGCACCCGGACCTGCTCCAGTGCCCAGTGAGGAGTGAGAAGAGCCCAGACTTCTGGGAGACCTCTGGAGTCGGTGGTTCAATATCCCTCACCCACCCCACCCCTAGGTTTGTGCCTGGCTTCAAAAGCAGAGACTGACTTGGCCTGTGGCCATGGACATGCTGGCTATGTGTGCTTTGTGAATGTAAGTTTTTATTTATTTATTTTTTTGAGATGGAGTCTCACTCTGTCACCAGGCTAGAGTACAATGGCGCGATCTCAGCTCCCTGCAACCTCCACCTCCCAGGTTCAAGCGATTCTCCTGCCTCAGCCTCCCGAGTAGCTGGGATTACAGGCACATGCCACCACACACAGCTAATTTTTGTATTTTCAATAGAGATGGGGTTTCACCATATTGGCCAGGATGATCTCGATCTCTTGACCGCGTGTTTCGCTTGCCTGGGCCTCCCAAAGTGCTGGATTACAGATGTGAGCCACCGCGCCCGGCCTGTGAATGCAAGTTTTGTGTGTGAAGCCTGGAGGTGCTTGTGAGCAGGCTGGATTTGTGTGTGCATAGGTATATGAATTGCGTTGGTGCACGCATTCATGCATGTAGAAGAGTGAGCTTGCTTGTGTATAGCGGGGTATGATATGCACTGGATGCATACATTAACGTGGACAGAAGAGTGTGCTTGTGTGTGTGTTATAGGCATGAGTGTGCACTGAATGCACACATTCACCCAAGGCACGTATACTGGGTGCGTAGCAGAGTGTGCCTGCTTGTGGGTAGTGGGATTGGGGATCTGAATAAACATCCTGCTTGGAGTACAGGCAGGGTGCTTCACTGGGTCTCTCTAAGAGTTTGGGATGGTGGGGGAAAGCTAAACCCCTCTCCTGGGACCTCACCCAGACCCACCCAAAGCTGTGGGCTGGAGAGATCAAAGTGGAAGTACTGCCTTTCTGTCCCTTCCTGACTTCTCACCTCCTCCCTCCTAGCTCTGGCTCCAGCCCCCTCACTTCACAGGTCTGCTTTGAACTCCACAGCTTGGGAACTCACCAGGGCAACAGGGCCTTTTTCTCTCCTTCCCGAGAGGCAGCCACAGCTGTGTCCCTAACAGCTGGTGGTGTTATCTGAGGGAAAGGGGAAGGGGAAGGGAGGGCAGAGACACAGGCGGGATATAACTTGGCTGCACGGCCCACTCTTAGGAATTTCATTTCCCCTTTCTCCAGCAGTGAAACACCCCCCACCCCAGCCCTAGGCGCACACGCAGACACACACACAGAGACACATACACTCACACAGAGACACAGACACACACACACATGCACACTCACAGACACACACACACGCAAACACAGACACGTGTGCGTACACACACACACACACACACACGCACACGCACACGCACACGCACACACCCTACTTTAGAAGCTTATCTGACCAAAAGCAAATGGTCAGCTGCCCCCTGGTTAAAACAGAAACCCCCTCAACAACCCTCTCCACCCCCAACTCCACCATTTGGTGTTATTTCAAACTCTAAGGCCATACTGCAAACTCCCAGAACTCCCCGGTCTCTGGGGACAGCAAGAAAACTCACTCACTGGCCTAGGACCCAGGGATATGAATTCTAATCCCATCCTGGCTACTAATTCATTCACTCAGAAAATATTGAGCAACTATTATGAGCCAGACTATTCGAGGTGCTGGGCATACAGTGTGAGCAATTCAAGGTATGTCCTTGGTTGCCTGCACTTTCATTCTAGACGTGGAACAGAGACAACACGATGAAAGTTAAATAAATGCAGAGAAGTCGGGTAATGATAAGCACTACAAAGGAAGATAAACTGGAGAACGATGCAGAGAATAAATGGAAACTGACAATCTGAATAATCTGAATGGCCACTGGGTTTCCGTGACTTAGAACAGGAAAGACGCCTAAAATGTTATTAGCCCATCGATTCCCAAACTGACATCAGAGGCCCTCGACGACAGAAATGGAGAGAGGCAGTCACTTGAGCCAGTATCAGCCCAAGTAAAATGCTGTGGAAACGGTTCATTCTCCTCACCCTCTTCAAATGTCAAGCACCAGCACCACGAGCTTGGACTTTACCAAGTCAGCGTGGGGACCCCGGCTACTCCATGCTGCTCAGCATGCCTTTGATGAATAAAAACTGAGCAGATGAATTCATTACGATTTTGTAAACAAGGTAGGTTAGATCAACAGACTCCTTCCTTAAAAGGGACTCACTGTGGGGAGAACAGGGAAGCAAGCAAGACGGCCTTTGATGCTGAAAGGTTGTGGCTGCGATCTCCTCCACGCACTTGACCTTGCGGATGGGGAAAGCGAGGGAGGGAGAGCAAAAGCGTTTTGTCCAGGTGTCCCTATGCCACCCCATCTTCTCCTCCCATCCCCAAGGTTGAGTGCAGAGGAAGCCTTTGTTTGGCTGAGAGGGGGACTTGGGCAGCAGACAGTGAGGACAGGAAGCACAGCAGAGGCAGGAAGGAGGCCAGGAAGAGGCTGACAGGACCAGGCTGGCTCACACTCAGCCCTGCCAGCCTTCAGGAGAGCAACGTGGTGTTTCTAAAAATATTGACAGTGAGTCTACATGAATGAGATATATATCAGCACTGACAATGGGAGGATGCAGGGCCAGGCCCTCCAGGGGAGAAGACCAACGCAATCAGCCCAGAAGCTGCACAAAGGCAAGGGGAGCTTGGGGAAGGCCAGCCTCGCACAGCCAAAGGAGGAGATCAAGCCTTCCACCCTGGGGCTCCAACAAGCACCGGAGGCCACAATGCCCCATAAAGCGGCCCCATAAACCTCCCCAGGACGGAAAACATCCCACATCCCTGGACCTGCCGTGAGCATCTTCAACCTGCATCCAGATCCCAATGCAGTGCAGAAATCTCTACTGCACCCACTCTGAGGATCATCCAGGGGTCTTGAATACCTCTGTTGACCAGACACTGACTCCTGCCCCCAGCAGCCCATTTCCATTCCAGTCCTGGCATTCCTGCTCATTCAACCTTCAGGAGAGAAGAGCGGTTCAGAACAAAGAGGCTGGAGTCGGGTCGCCACTTACAAGTCACTTTGCCATGGAGCGCCAAGGAGTATGACCATTTCAAGCCTCAGTTTTCTCATCTGTAAAATAGGGAGTCATTAGAGTCTCTGCGGCCCCAGGGCTGGTGGAAGGACTCAGCGAGGTAAAGGAGACAGGATGCAGAGAATGCCATGCGGGCCAAGGTGCAAAGATGCAAAAGAAAGAATATGACATGTCCTAGGACGAACGTGAGATAAGGTTAAGAAAATTAGCAAATGCCATTTTGCGGCTGATACAGGGCTGCTGCAGAGCTAACCTTGAACTGTGCAGTGGGCGAGGCACTCGCCACATGACGCTGTGAAGTGCTGGAGATGTGGCCAGGTGGATGGTGAGGCACTGCAGGTGTAGAACCCATACTGGGTTTCAAAGACTTAATACAAAAAAAGAGGGCCAGGCCCAGTGGCTCACCCCTGTAATCCCAGCACTTTGGGAGGCCGAGGCGGGTGGATCGCAAGGTCAGGAGATTGAGACCATCCTGGCTAACACAGTGGAACCCCCATCTCTACTAAAAATATAAAAATTAGCCGGGCGTGGTGGCACGCGCCTGTAGTCCCAGCTACTCAGGAAGCTGAGGCAGGAGAATTGCTTGAATCCGGGAGGTGGAGGTTGCAGTGAGCCGAGATCGTGCCATTGCACTCTAGCATGGGCAACAAAGCAAGACTCTGTCTCAAAAAAAAAAGAAAAGAAAAGAAAAAAGAATGTAATATATCTCATTAGTAATATTTTCTATTGATTCCATGTCGAAATGATAACATTTTGAATATATCAAAGTAAATATACTGTTAAAATGAAGTTTACTTCTTTGGTTTCCTTTACTTTTTTTTTGAAATGGAGTCTTGCTCTGTCGCCCAGGCTGGAGCGCAATTTCAGGTCACTGCAACTTCCCCTCTCGGGTTGAAGCGATTCTCCTGCCTTAGCCTCCCGAGTGGCTAGGATTACAGATATGCGCCACCATGCCCGGCTCATTTTTGTATTTTTGGTAGAGACAGGGTTCTGCCATACTGACAAAATTTCTGGATTTCTGGTCTCGAAATCCTGATCTCAAGTGATCCACCCACATCGGCCTCCCAAAATACTGAGTTTACAGGAGTGAGCCTCCGAGCCCAGCCTCCTTCATTTTTTCAGTGTGTCTACTAAGAAAATTTAAATCACATATGCAGCTTCTGTTATATTCCTGTTGGCTCATGCTGAGCTGAAGGATCACATCTAAGCCTTTGGATGCTCACTCTGGAGGCATCTTTGAGGATGGGTTAGGATGAGTAGGTTCATTAGGAAACAGGTACAGTTTTTCATATCAAAGGCCCATATTAAGGAGAGGACTCCAATTCCAATTTTCCTATCACAGGTAGTTTGTCACAAAGTAGAATCAGAGAGATGTGATTTCCCTCCTCCCGTAGTAATAGGTAGCGTGTTACCTCCTATTAGGTAAAGGGTATTACCAGGCACTGCAAAAGCACACTGAGATGCTTTTCCCCAATGTAAGTTTCAATGCCATCACTTACATGATGATCTCTATCTTACAGATTGGTACACTGAGGTTCAGAGAGTTACTTCACTGGCTCAGAGCCATGTGGCTTCTTAGTAATAGAGGACTTGAAACTTTGGCTTTGACTCTAGAAGCCTGAGAGTCTACAGTCAGGATGTGTTTTCCCAGCATGAGGCCTTGCTTCTGCATTCAGACATGACCTACTGTTGCTTCAGAGAAGGGGGGTGGCAGAGACATCTCGTAAATGGAACCCATCTCTCTCAAGGACAGTGAGATTGAGTGGAGAAAAATTCACATAGGCTCACAGCTTGATGATAAAAAGATAATTAGTAAAACCATCATAATTTGTAATTACTCATGACCCTTAGACATAAAGATCAAGCCACAAATAACTCTGTAATAACAGCAATAACAATAGTAGTTAATAATACTAGTAACTATTTACAAGAGCAATGACTTGGAACCAACCCGAATGCCCATCAATGATAGACTGGATAAAGAAAACATGGCACATATACACCATGGAATACTATGCAGCCATAAAAAAGGATGAGTTCATGTCCTTTGCAGGGACATGGATGAAGCTGGAAACCACCATTCTCAGC